GCAGAAAACAATACAGAAATCACAGGGCAGAAGCTACTTACCATTTCAAAGCATAGAACCTTTGGGACTTATCTGTAATACACAGTAGAGCATGTTGCAGAATTGCCCAAGATAATCTAACTATGTAGAATGGCACAGCACGGGGGATATCAGCGCAAGTTGAAAAGCAGTTCAGCCTTATCAAAATGGCACTATGCTCAAAGCAACACAGACACCCTCTTCCAGTTCTAATGTCATCTTAAGTACCTTTGCAACCCTCTCCCTAGTGGATTAAAGACCTATTTTTTAAAAAAAAAGAGAACTGGATACCTTTCTGATAACTATTCATTTGACACGCTTATCTTCTAATTAAGGAGATAGAAGATAAGCTTTTAAGCAACTAAAGTCTTATTGCATGCAACATCATGAAACAAGTGAATTTACCTACTGATTTTGTCAGTAGGCTATCCTAGCAACTATCCTAGGCAGAACAAGCTCCTAGCACCTACAGAGGTGCTTTACAAACCATCCATGCGATGGGTTAATTCTGGAAAGCATATGAAATGAACTCTCTCTCAAAGCAATATTCAATTTGCTTTACATAAATCTTAACAACGTTGCCCTTTGAACTACAGTACCTGTGCCTGTATTTCCTTAAATTTCTTCATCAACTCTTTAATTTGCTGCTGACATTTTCCATATTCTGCCTGCAACTGCCAAAGAGAGAAGAATTCACAGCACAGAAGTGGACTTAATTACACAGAAAAGTTACTCCTCTAGTTAGTTAACACAGTAATGTATATTACAAAGCTGTTTCTTTCCAAAAGCATCATATTAAAGCCGTATTAAAACAAAAAGCTTCAATACGCTTCAACAGGTATACAAGTCTCTAAAACATCACAAACACGCAGATAAGAGGAAATCTATGAGTGCTTGCCCAACAGTAATAGGCTAGAGAGTAACAGGAAGCCATATTATTGTGAAATTAAAGACACGATTATCGAGGAGCAAGAGTTCTCAGAGCCCTACACATGGGGACTTCTTTGTCATATTTTACATAATACAAAAAAGGTAAGGAAAAACACAACAGAAAGTTACTACAAAGAAACCTGGACTGCAAAAATAGACTGCAAAGAACACGCTCCTGTTGAGATCACAAAATTAAGTAAAATACATTTGGCATGAGCTCTTCTTTAAAAGTAGATGGCAACAAAATTTTCACACAAGAATTAACAACTTCCCTATTGTCATACTTAGGTCAACTGCTTTCAAACTTTGTGACATTTTCATCACTTAGTTGACTCCTGGAGGTTTTGCTCTTGATTCTTCTATAGTGCATTACATCTGTGGATGTCTGTCTCTTCTACTCCAAAGTTCAAGTCAGTTAAGATGTGTCTTATGGATCAGGATAGATGATGCTACATGAGTAGCAGCTACATGCTGATTTGCTAGAAGCAGTTGTCTACTGACACATAAGATTAATCCATGACCTATCCGCTTTAGTCTGGTAAAATTTCTTGGGAGAAATGTCAAGACTAGCTTTGTATCAGACGTCTGAACAGATATTTAACTAGAAGGAAATTAGGGTACGTTTTCCCATAATGTAGCTGATACATGAAACACATGCAAAGGACGTTAAAAGAGAACAGACCATGTCACAGAGGGAGAGATTCACTTATTCCGATAAACTTGTTGACCTAACAGTTTTTTAGCACACTCTTGTTATTACTTATTTAAAAACAGTTTCCCTATTTTTCCAATAATGTGAGCATACTGACAACATTTTTTGCACTTTACACGAAAAAATCTGGAACAAAAAACCCTCCAAAACACCAGTATTATTTCTGTCACATTAATACATACCTCGTTGTAGGATGCTTCCTTTGCAGTCCCTTCTTCAATTAATATCTCATCAAATAAATTTAAGCTGTTTCCAGCCGGTGTAGAATTTGGAGCAGAATTGTCTGTAGAAAGAAAATTAATTACATAAAGAAAAAAGTATTTTTCTAGCCAGGTTGCATTGTGTCACTGAGGAAAACACATGACCTTATCTGGAGAAATTCCTATCCTGAATTTCAACATTTATGTTAGTTTTATTGGAAATACTTGATCCAATTTACATCAACATAAAAGGTAACAATGAAAATTAAAGTTCAACTGAAAACATTGTGTTAGAAAAATTAAGAGATATACAGGACACCTAACAACAAAGATGGGTGCATTTTATGGCTGTCTAATAAGTTGTTTTAAGTCAAAGGAGGGCTAACTCACAGTAAATCTACCTAATTTACAAAGCAAGAAGGGTTACACCTTAGCAGTGATCTGAGGTTCCGCAATTCCAGAGCCAATATATAGCATAAAGCTAGAATAAATACGTGCATCCTACAATTCATTCAGCATTTGGACAGACTTCACCTTGGAAACATTTGCAGTTGAAAAAAAATTATTGAGAAAAAGAATACTCAGACGCCAATGACGTACACATTCACAAACATGGATCAGTTGATCAGAATCAAATGGAGTTACTGTAGAGTTGGTATTGGGTTGAATACCATGCTTCTTGTGTTGAATAAATGTTCTTTGCTGCTTTATGTTCCCTCACAAACGTAAATGCCCTAGCTTTAGTTCCAAAGAAATGAAAGAAAACAAACAAACAAACCAAAAAACAACCCAAGAGCCAAAAACCCCTATTATTTAGATAACGGTGCTTTTTCCTCAAATCAACCGCTGTGCTCTGTTCACCAAACACGCATTACTGACAGGACCTGACTTAAGACACCTCTGAAATACAGATTCATTTGCAGACAAATAAATGAAGTTAGCTATCAAAGCTGCGCTTCAAACCTTTGGACAATACCATAATGCAAAGAGTATTATTAACACAATGCAAGATGACATGCAAATAACAACTTATCTGTATAAAGCAAAAATCTCACCGATCCTCTTTTCAAATATAAAAAAAAAAAGATCTCTCAGAACTAGACTACGTAAAATGTTTGCATTGCATTAAGTTATTCCTCCTTGCATCTCAGTATGTAAAATACAGACTTAGAGAATACTCTTAGATGCTGTAACAAATACAAAATGGAAAGCAAGAAAAAGATGTATAGATATTTTATGTCTGTAGGATATGGTATAGTCCTTCCATAAAAATTCAATGGCCTTACAGTAGTAAGGTCAATAGGGAAACACTTGTTTAAGTACTAGAAACAGCATTTCATTAAACAGTACACTAAGACTCCTAGAAAAGAACACGTGCTGGGTCCATTTCTTTCTTACCTTCAAAGAAGTTAAAAGAGGAAATTAATTTACATTAGCCTGTGAAATTATTGAGAAAGTAACAAAAGGTTAAAAGGACCTATTGAATGTACTGTGTCACACAGAAAGTATGTTTTGGAGCTCTCACTGGGGATTTAGTGATCACTGACTGTTGGTTCTGGTCCTGAAGCTATTTAAAAACCACAAAATAAAAGTGCTTTTTACAAGGTAAAATGTCCTGTATCAAGGCACAAATAGAATAGCTATGGTTTCTCTGCACCCCCTTATATGCCCAAGTCTCTTAAAATAGCCGGTATCACATTAAAACTATCTTATAATCATTCAACTAATAGATGTAAGAATTCTCTGCTGTATTTACAGTGTAACATATATGTCTTGAATTTAAACAAGTAGCTCACCGAAGCATATGTTACACCAACTAAATGTAAACAAAGCTACCTGTTGAAACCAGCCTAAGAAGCACAGAGACTCTATAATGCTCCAAGCCAATCAGCAAGATACAATCAACCTACCAGGAACTGTCAAACCATTGTCCAAGCCATCGTAAATATCCACTGAGCTCTCATCACCTTCCTTGAAGGGGGAAGCTTCAGCTAAAGAAAAAAAAAAAACAACAAAAGCCAAAGTAAACATTTAGTAAACTCCAACCTCTAACTTTCCCATAAAGTAAGTGATTCTAGACTGGTAGAGACTAGTAAAAGACGGGAATTTTACCCAGCAAGCTACTGCTACTGTGGAGAAAAGATCTTTAGTCACTAGGGAGCAAAGACTTTCTTTAAGACCAATTCCTAAATACTACAAGAACTGTGCATGAAGCAAATTATATGGCTTTAAGTACAAATAAAATTTAAAATTATAAACTAAGTCCACTTGATCTGAATTTGAAACTGTTTTCTAGAATACACTGAATACCAAAGTTATACAATTCAGAAACAAAACTAAAAGAATAGTATGATAAAGCCACTGCTGTTAAAATAAACATTTCTCGCTAAACAGAAAGTATTGTAACACTCTGTATCATAATTCAAAGAATTTGCTTTATTATTGCCATCTATTCACACACTGACTGGTTCTGTAAAAGTATTTTAATCTAAATGTCCTCAGTCTCTCTTCATATCTTTTTCCAATGCCTCTTATCACTCACATCTCCTCTATGTGAATCTCTCCAGTTCTGCAACAAGTATTATTACTATAAGGAAAAATATCAACATCCACAGTCCTTCTGAGCCTGGGAATTTCACAAATATGCATCAGATCAATCAACTGCAGAGCTGGAAATACTAGAGTACCTTGATTGCTGGTACATCCATACCAGGTGGTAGCGTATTTGCTCTTACAAATAGCAAACAAAGGACAATCCTCCTAACCGTTCAAATAAGTTAGGAGGTTCATTAAGACACAGCGAAGGTTAAATTATACACCATAAAACACAGGGGAGAGACCAGTTCCAGGCATCGCTTCAAAACATACGAGAAATCCAAAGTACACAGTTATGGTTGAAAACCCAAACTTACTATTGGGATATGGCTTACAATGATAGTGTGCCACAACCATTTAATTACAGTTGAAGCTCATCAGTATTTGTCCCAACTTAAGTTGTTTCCATTTTGTTTTCTAAGTTATTTACGGACCTATTTATTTTCTAAGACTGCTTGTGTTATTTCATTGCAAAACAGAAAGTAACTAACACATCTTACCACCATAGCGGGTATCAAACAGTCCCAGTCCATCCTCATCTGTTGCCATGATACAAACTCCCTATGGCTTCCCCATCTATCAGTGAAATATCAGAGGAAAGACAACAGATTAACTGACAATTTCAGAACATCGTAAAACAGAAGCATCTTGAAATAAGTCAATTACACCTGAGCTACCTGGGGCCCTTGCTCTTCAACAAAATCCAACACCAGAATGAGAAAACTCTTACATCAAGATAACAAATGTAGAGCTCTATCAAGAAAAGTAAGAAATTATCTGTCCTGTAAATAAGCATTCTGAAGATCTTCAGCTGTATGTTTTATTCACATGTATCAAATAAAGATTCTATAAAGAAATTTTGGTATGAAAACAAGCACTGCATTCTATGAACAGGTTATCTGAATGTGCATCTTAACCAGTTAAAATAATCTGATTTGATAATTCTGATTTCTTCTCTGCTGACCAGTTAAGAGCAAGTTTCCCCTGTCTGACACCGCCAGCCAAACC